TATTCTTGCCAGTAGAGATGATATGACTGATGTCATTTGTTGTGACGCTGTTTTAGCATATTCGTGTTATATTCTTGCCAGTAGAGATGATATGACTGATGTCATTTGTTGTGAATTTTTCCATTATGGACATCATAATTATGCAGGCAAACTGGGATACTTCCAAAGTCCGAGAGAATACTTGTCCGTGATATTGAAGCACATGGCGACTTCTATCCGCAGTGCAAAGTTTACAGAGTTGTCAGCTGCTTATGAGGTTTATATACATGTGTTAGAAAATAATTTCAAATCAATTCCAATCTATTGATGTTGATAGTTATTTCATTACCATCTATCTTCAAGCATATATCTGACTAGGCTTGACATGTTCTCAATGGTTTAGTTAATATTTGCAACGGGATTATGATTAAGAGTTAATTTTCCTTCAGAAAAACCTAATTGAAGCTCTTTCCGAACCCGTGGAATCCTTATTTTATGCTTCTGGAATAGATACTTGGGCATGTATCAGAAAGCTTTATAAACATGAATAGAAAAGAAGCAGGGAAGGTTTTGATAAATATGAAGGACAAGTATCTGGCCTGTTCTCTGGATTTCTTGGAAGAACAATTTTTCAAAACCGACTGAAATTTTTTTTTTTTTTTCAAAACCGACTGTTTTTTTTTTATTTATCAAAATCGACCCGGTTTTGTGATTAGCAGGCTAATCACTATCCTAAATAGTCGGGGTTGGCAACCCCGACTATTTAGGATAGTGATTAACCTGCTAATCACCCTTTAATTAGGGTTTAACACCCTCCTAAATAGTCGGGGTTGCCAACCCCGACTATTTAGGATAGTGATTAGCAGCCTAATCACAAAACCGGGTCGATTTTGATAAATAAAAAAAAAAACAGTCGGTTTTGAAAAAAAAAAAAAAATCAGTCCGTTTTGAAAAATTGTTCTTCTTGGAACCATATCGGCTTCTGTAACTTTACAATTGTCATCATTATTCTATTTCCTGATTCTCAACAGTATTTAGACATGATAAAGACTCGATGCCGAGAGTATGGACAGGAAAGGAGGACATTCGTAGAATCACAAGGGAAGCTCGTGCAGCGGTATCTCACAAATTTTTACATTTTCATTGACCTCACATCTTAATGTTTTTTAGCATGCCCGAGTGTTTCAAAAAAAATTGTATATAGTGAGGGTAATCTTACCATGATGACCATAAATACTTTTTCCTACAAACTTCAAAACCAACCAAATACAAAAAAAGTGGGAAATGTCATATCAACAAAAATTTTACCTTTTTTTTCCATGCGAACCAAACACAAGAAAAGTAAATACATTGGTTTCCCACCATTTTTTATATGCGAACCAAAGCGAAACAATTAATCTATTTCTTGAAAAAGTTTGGAAAACTCAAAACTTGTGTTTTTGTACATGAAAATGCATTTCCCTATATCTAGGAAACGAACCAAACAGAAACTTAAAGATAAAGTTGAGTAAATAAATATGCCTAAAAACAAAAACCCCTAAAAAACCCTAAAAAGGACGCGTTTTATGAGGATTTTCTGATAAAATCTCAAAGTTAAAAGAACATTTTCTGATAACCCTTTAAATTTAAGGGGGGCGTACTGATATTTTCTAAGTTGGGGAGGATGGTTTCTAAGATTAAGTTGAAAGTATTTTTAGAGTGACATATTTCTTTTTTTAACATACACCTCTTGCTTCATGTATTTATACTACTATATAATGATCCAAGTGAGGTTAACCCAAAAAAATAGATGAGTGGTGGACATTGCCCTCTTTCCTACTATGGTTGAAAGGGTAAAAGAGCAATTCAACAAAGGAGAGTTTGTCTCTTTATTATTTCTAGAATATTATAGCCATATTTTATCATAAATATAGATAGAATCTATACAATTGAATATTTTTTCTCTTTATTTTTTTCTAAAATATTTTAAGCAATGTTTTTTCCACAAAAAATGATAAAGTATTTATTTTTTATAAACAAAAGGCTATAAAATTATATCAAGTTTAATTAATCAAATCAATGCACAAATAAAAAATTATGAATCATAACTAAATTTTAAGAAGGATTGTGGTTATAAGATATGACTCAAATGGCAAATTATTCGAGGTGTATTATAGACAGTCATGAATTCATATCTCCACGCTATTCATCTCAAAATAAAAGAAAAATACATTTTCAATGACATTCATTAAATAAAACTTTATTCCTTTCATTAAATTAATTCTTATGGACAAACGTATAAATTTTAAGCAATAATTTTACTTGAGCTACACACAAAAGAATGTCATGATCAACATTGAATTAATTTCGATAAATTTTTTTTGCATGTGCATAATGCACGTGCCTGTGATCTAGTTTTTAAATAATACCCTCTAGATCTCAATATTTGCAAAAGTAGCTCTCAAATTATCAGCTTCGAGGGAAAACAACCTCAAATCAACAAATCGTCAACTTTGATTAGATAATCTTTAAGGGTGGTGTAAAAGTATCAAGAAAACAGTCAATTTGCTATTTTAGTGAACATAAAGACATTAAAATTAGCAGTTAGTTTATAAAGTTAACATAATGCATTATTTCCAAACGGGGTCAATGGTTTTTCCTAACTTCCATTCTCACTTATTCCCTTTAATCCAAACATGCCCTAATGTAAGGGGGTAGAAGCAAACTTTTTTATATCCATATCTATTATATCTAAGAAAAGCTTGACTTTTGGTTCTATCACTGTATGTGCAGTAATCCAAAAAATTCAAGCAATATCCCCAATACTTGCAAATGCTTTAAAACTCCTCAAAAGGTTAAAATTGAAAAAACAAAACAAATAACAAAATTTACCTCCACATTCACACTGGGGCCCTCAAGTTTTGAAGTGGCAAACAAATTCCCAAACCTCCCACTTCTTTCTTAATTCTGTTCCTCCTCAAAAAAAGAAAGAAAAATAAAAACCAATTATCTCTCAGAAACTGTACGAGTAAAAGATAGTAAAAGAGATCCTAACTCACAAACTACCCGCCCACATCTTGACCCGACTTGAATTCAATCCTAAGTCTCATAGACGTCTTGTAGACACAAGAGCATCTCTTCTCCTCCGTCTTGGTCACAGGTTCAATTTTTAATGTAGTTTTCATATATATCAAAATCAAGAAACGTTGATGTCATTTTTAGATATCTATTTATGTTAGTATCAATAAAGTGTCCATAATATTTTTCCCACTTCGCACAAGTTTGTATGTCTCGTGCACGCATCTGTGCATCAGAAGGACTAGTATATCTCATTAAAATAAGTTTAGAGGGCTTTTCTGCCCACGCACCTCGTACTTCTGAGCTAGCCCAAGTCCATTTTCCTAGTGTACGTACTGGCCAACGTACTTCGTCCCTAGACATCAAAAACGAAATAAGAAGAAATTTTCGATTTAAACTTATTCTAACTTTTATTTTTAAAAACCGACCCAATCTCGTTTTAATTATAAAAACCGACCCATTTCGTGGGCACGTCAGCGTCTTGGCCACGAAATGAGTCGGTTTTTTTAATATCGTCTCTAAATAGTCGGGGTTGCCCGACTATTTTGGGCAACCCCGACTATTTTGGGCGTCCTGGCCAAAATACATGCTAAATTAGTTAGGGTTGACAACCCTGACTAATTTAACACCCTGTCTAATTGGTCGGGGTTAGGAACCCCGACCAATTCGAAAGCCTTTTTTCGAAATGGTCGTGGTTCCCAACCCTGACCATTTAGCAGAGACTTTCCACGCAAAAGAGGTGAGAGTTGTCTAAGGCAAAATAGTCGGGGTTGGGAACCCCGACCATTTCGAAAAAATGCTTTCAAATTGGTCGGGGGTCCCAACCCTGACCAATTAGACATGGTGCTAAATTAGTCGGGGTTGCCAACCCTGACTAATTTAGCATGTATATTAGATAGGGTGTCCAAAATAGTCGGGGTTAGCAATCCCGACTATTTAGAGGCGAAATAAAAAAAACCCGACCTATTTTGTGGTCACGATGCTGACGTGACCACGAAATGAGTCGGTTTCTAAAATTAAAATGGGAGTGAGTCGGTTTTAAAAAATAAAAGTTGGAATGAGTTTAAAATGAAAATTTCTCCAACGAAATAATAATAATATTAATGCTAAATACCCATATTGGTATTTTAATTTTACCATAATTTCCATCAAGATATTTTAAATAGGCAAACCCGCTTTAAGATATTTTAATTGATCCAACTAATCAATAAGGCATGTTTTCTCGTCGACGGACAAATTTCCGACGAGATCTCGTCACGTGCATGGCATGTGATGTCTCAAAACTCATTTTTAGCAGCGGCAACGGCAACAATCTCGTCATATTCAGCCCAAAGTAGGATAAAATAACGGTTATGACGCCGCTTGAGATCGCTAACCCCATCGAATCGGCTGAATATGACGAGATTGTTGTCGTCGCCGCTGATAAAAACGAGTTTTGAGACATCATGTGCCATGCACGTGACGAGATCTCGCCGAAAATTTGCCCGCCGATGAGAAACCATGCCTTATTGATTAGTTGGATCAATTAAAATGTCTTAAAGTGGGTTTGCCTATTTAAAATACCTTGTTAAAAATTAGGATGGAATTAAAATACCAATATGGGTATTTAGCCATAATATTAATAATAATATTTTTTTGCCGCCAAAATTGGGACCCTCAGTCCAGGGTTTTGTTCAACTCGTTCAGAAAACCCCTTCCCCAATTCCCTAATCTTCTCGAAATCAATCGGCACAATCAAGCCAGCAAACTCCGAATGTAATGGCATCCCCATCTTTCGCTGTCGACAACGACGACGTAAGCCCTCGCGCACTCTCTCTCCTCAAAAACCTAACCCTAAATCTCATTCTCGATGCACTTGCAGGATTTCGATTGGGAAGCGGCCGTGAGAGAAATCGACACCGCGTGCGAGCTCGCATCAAATCAGCCCAATCTCGTAGACCCTCCGGTCA